CAATAGTAATAGTGACAGTAAAAATAGTAATAATAATAGTAATAAGAATAATAAGAATAACCATGATGACATCAATAATAATAATCATAAAAATGTTAATTTCTAAAGCTCATCACCAAAAATTTATACATCACATGTGACCAATTTAATCAGGGATGGGGGGTTTACTTTATTACACATGGGGTGAGGATAAATGCCAGAATCGGATTTAGGCAATGAAGCATTGCCTAAAAGTGATACTGAGCTCCAAGGAAGGTCCATGAGATGCTGGGGGTAGGTAAGGATGACATAGTGATCAGGAGCCCCAGAGCCAAAGGATGACAGATTATTATTTTGTGTGAAAGAAAGGTAGGGGGTGAGGGAGGGGGAGAGAGGCAGCTCCGAGGATAAACATAAAGAAACCCTGTATAGGTCTCCCTCAACATTCACGTTTTCAACTTTCATGGGCTTCACACATTTGCGAATTCCCAACCGCCAAATTCCCAGCCACCAAATTCCCAGCCGCAAATCATATTTAAGTTTCCTGCCACCTGCGAGTCCCTACTACCCTCCCTCCAACCCCCACAACTGGCAGCCAGCCCTCCCACCACTCAGTGTGGTGAGTGTTTTGTTTGTTCATTATTTGCTACTAAACTACAGTATAAATAATGTAAACCCATTCATGACTGCATATTGGAATGGCTATTCGGACAGGTATTAGACTGTGACATCATGTGTTTACTCTTGAACACTGCAAAGAATTAAACATTTCTGCTACAGCTAATAATAACAATAGTAATATAATAATAATAATATAATAATAATAATATAATAATAAATATGATATAATTGAAGAAGGAAATTGTACAAAAATAGAGGGAGTGGTTGACACATCGTCAGTGTGACTTTGTTTATGCTGGAGTGAACATTAGTCTCCCTGCTCTTCCAAACATTTCACAATAATTCATTGTGTTTGGTGCTTGTAGATTGAGTGTGACTAGAGTGGTAGAGGCAGTGATTGAGGCAATGGTATTTAATAACATACATGTCAATAATAATACATGTTATTAATAATAACATGTACTATTATTATTTATAACATGTATGTTATTAAATACCACTGCCTCAACCGCTGAATTATTGTGAAATGTTTGGAAGAGCAGGGAGACTAATGTTCACTCCAGCATAAACAAAGTCACAATGACGATGTGTCAACCACTCCCTCGTATTTTTGTACAATTTCCTTCTTCAATTATATCGTATTTATTATTATTATTATTATTATTATTATTATTATTATTATTATTATTATTACTATTGTTATTATTAGCAATAGCAGAAATATTTGATTCTTTGCAGTGTTCAAGAGTAAACACATATGTCACCGTCTAATACCTTTCCTAATAGCCATTCCAATATGCAGTCATGAATGGGTTTACATTATTTATTCTGTAGTTTAATAGCAAATAATGAACAAACAAAACATTCACCACACTGAGTGGTGGGAGGGCTGGCTGCCAGTTGCGGGGTCGGAGGGAGGGTAGTAGGGACTCGCAGTGGTGGAGGCATTGGTGGAGGCAGTGGTGGAGTCTGTGGTATTTAATAACATACATGTTATTAACATACATGTTATTAAATAACATACGTTATTAAAGCATAACATGTATATATTTAGTACAATTTACGACGTTTTCATGTATTTTATGATTATTCATGGTTCAACAAGTTAAGGAAGCAGTATTGTAATATATTTCCCTACAATATATTGGGGCACCAAACATTCAGGGTTTTTCAACATTCGCGAGGCTCTTGATCCCCTAACCCTCGCGAATGTTGAGGGAGACCTGTACATACCTTGAACCATGATTACCTTCATTCTAGGAGGCAATGAAGGTCACTGTGGTAAGCACTCCCATCTTACCTAGCATAGAATACCTGGCACACCAGCACTGACTGAGCTAGCCTCAGCCAATAATAATGAGTGATTGGAAAAACCTGCTGCCACCACCATTGAGGGAAACCCCCTTTTAAAAATTTCTGTCATTCAGGGACATCAAGGGTGTCCTCTGGGGGGCACTGGAGGATCCCAAGATGCCCCCAAATAATACAATTCCCATTTCAAAACACACCACCACTGAAGTCACATCGAATGGAATGGAGTGATAATTTTCTGTATTAGTGTAGTAAATTTTAAAAAAAGAAAAAAATTTTTCCCAAATAATGAGGTAAATTTTAGGGAGGGGGGGGTTTTTTAAAATTGTCGGGGAAAGGGACAAGAGTTTCCCCTTAAAAAACCCAAAGGGGAATCCCTTGAAGGGAAAAAAGAGTGGTGGGGGTCCAAACCTAATTTTTTAAAATACAGCCTCCCCTCACTTAACGGGGTTCCGTTCCAAAGACCACATCAGTGCTAAAAACAAATTTCATTGCTAAGTGGGAGCATACTAAACGGTAGGGGGTTTGTGTAAACCATCTTTGTATTGTTTTAATGCACCTTTGCACCTTTTAATAAACTTTTGATTGAAATTTTTTTTAAATGTTTATACAGTATTACTGTATAGTAATAAACAAATAAGGAAATCAGCTCAAAAAATTATATACAGATTTAGGTATACATATGTCGAGACCCATGAAAGCCCAAAGGTTTATCGATAAACGAAAAATACTAAGTGAGGAAGGCTGTAAAATTACATAATTTTATTTTAAAGTACATAACAGTGGACCCCCGCCAAACAGCGCATTGCATAACTTTAAATTTCCGCCATACAAGCATTTGAATCCCAAAAATTTTGCCTCGCCTAACAGATCCCCCCCAAACCTGCCATCCAGCTGAGACTAGCTCCCCCTCCCACATTGTTTACAAGCCAGGGGTGGGTTCATCTACATTCGATACATTTTGTATTATTCCATTGTTTATAAATGCTTGTAAAATGCTAAAAAAGCCCCATGGGCCCAAAGAAAGCTTCTAGGCCAACCCCCCGGGGAAAAAGGGGAGAAAATTAATCGTACCACACACTGCTGCTGCACCCTCACTGTTTCGCACCACGGTCAGCTGTTGCGCACCATGGCAAGTTGCGCCCATGCGCTGTTCTGCAACCCCCCCGCAGCTGTTGTGACCACGGTCACTTTGCTGCACCAATCACTGTTGCGGCACCACGGTCAGTGTTTGCCTGCCCATGGTCAATGTTGCTGCCCCCACCGCAGCTGTTGCTGCACCCCTGCACTGTTGCTGAAACCCCGGGCAGCTGTTCGCACCAAGTCACGCTGCTGCACCACAGTCAGCTGCGCTGCACCCGGCAGCGCTGCGCACCACAGTCAGCTGTTGTGAACCATGGCCCGCTGCGCGCACCATGGGCACTGCTGCGCACCACAGCAGCTGCTGCTGCACCACCGTCAGCTGCTGCGCACCACCATCAGCTGTTGCTGTCCAGGTCAGCTGCTGCTGCACCACGTCACTGTTGCTGAACTGCAGTCAGCTGCTGCTGACCCCAAAATCAGCTGCTGCTGCACCCCCATCAGCTGTTTTTTGACCCAAAATGACTCATCCCCAACCCGTTGTCCAGCCTGAATGCCCCCCAGCGCCCCCGCCATGATTTTTTACAAGCCAGGGTGGCCGGTTGCATGCTACATTCGATACATTTTTTTATTATTTTTGTTTTTAGTGCTTTTTAATTAAAAAAAGCACCCCGGCCCCCCAAAAAAGTTCTAGTGCCCAACCCCGTGGTAAAAGGGGAGAAATACTATTGAAAACTACTATCGACCACGGTCAGCGCGTGCACCCCAGTCAGCTGTTGCGGGCCCTCCGTTTTCTGCACCACATCAGCTGTGCTGCAAAACCCCCCAGCTGCTTGCACCAAAGTCACCTATTGCGAACCACGCAGTTGCTGCTGCCCATGGTCAGCTGCTGCTGCACCAAATCAGCTTTGCTAAACCCCATGGTCGCGCTGCGCACCAAAGTCAGCTGTTGCTAAAACCGGGGGCAGCTGTTGCTAACCACGGCCCACTTTTTCGCCCCCGTCAGCTGCTGCTGCACTACAGTCAGCTTTTTGCGCTGCTGCACCACCACAGCTGTACTACTCAAAATTGGAGGGGTTTGTTTTTGGTGTGGCTTACGGGAAAAAAATTTACCGAGAACAATTAACCCCAAGGGGTTACCCCCCAGGATAACCCAAAAAGCCAGTGAATCTTTGAGGGCTGTCAAACTTATTTCCATTGGGTCCAAATCTGTCCTCCAGGATGCGCCCCACAACATCAACAAAACCCCCGGGTGAACAGGAAAAACCCCTGGAACAGTGCTCATTGGTGAATTTAACCCAGCAAAGGTTGGTTTGAGAATTTAAAAATTAGTGGCTGCAAGTGCATAAAGGGATGGGGAAGGGGAAAAAAATTTCCCAAACCCCAAAAAAGTGTTCAATTGGGAAACAGCCCCTTCGGAAGAAAAAAGCCCAAAAGGACCCACATTATCAGGGAAAAGGCACTCCCCCGGACCAAGCCTGTGAAAGACAGGTAACTCTCAGTTTGTTGTAAAGTTAGTAGGGATTGCAAAGTGAAGCCTTTACTCATGTATCACTCTGAAAATCCCAGAGTGTTCAAGAAAAACAGTGTCTCATCACTCATCAATACTCTTCAATAAAGGTAAGCATCATTTTAACACTTATTTATGTAGTTATTGTGCATATCTCATTGTTTTCTTTGTAGGGAAATGTATATTTCATGAAAAAAAAAAAAATTTTAATACTTTTGGCTGTCTGCAACGGATTAATTGGATTTCCATTATTTCTTATGGGGAAAATTAATTCGGCTAACGATAATTTCGGCTAACGATGAGCTCTCAGGAATGGATTAATATCGTTAAGCAAGGGTCCACTGTACAAGGTATACAGGCCTAGTTGACATCAGTGACATGCTATTATGCTGAAATAGATTGTATTCTGATAATGGAACAACGCTGAAATGAGAACAGAAATTCAATCTTCAAATCAGTGATATCTTTACATTATTTTTTATATGAAGTAACTTCAAAGCCAAGTTTAAATTTTATTAAACCAAAGTCTACATGTTAACATTAAAAAAATTTACAACTGTTTTACTCTGCTAGGTATGTAAATGAATAACTACTGTACTGCAGTCAATCTGAAAATGTATTCAGCCTTTAAATATTCATATAAAAACCTAGCACAATATCAATATGGTTTCTTAGAAGATTTTTTTAATACAGCCTCTCCTTACTTAATGACGGAGTTCTGTTCCTAAGACCACGTAGGTAAACGAATTCGTTGCTAAGCAAGGTGCATACTAAAATGGTAGTAGGTTTGTGTCAGCCATCTTCGATATTGTTTTAATGTCACCTTTGCACCATTTATAACATTTTTAGTAAATTTTTAAATATTTATACAGGAGTGTACTGTATGTTGTAATAACAGAACAGAGGAAATCAGCTCTAATATACATTATTTAGGTATGCATACTGGTCAGAGTGCCCGTTGTAAGTCTGAGTCGTTGGTAAACGAGTACGTCACTAAGTGAGGAGAGGCTGTATAGTACATATAAAGCAAGATCATGGAAGAACTTCAACTCTCCTTCAGTTTTTTCCTAAATTCAAATTCAAGAATAGACTGGAATTCTTCCCTATTTTCATCACTAACAGTTTCTGCTAGATTAGGAGGGAAGCACAAAGTACCATTTCGTACTGCAGCCAAGACAGATTGACGGCTCACATTTACATCACGCGACAAAGATGATAATTCATTGGATCCCATATTGCCTTTTGAGTGTGCTGCTCTTATTGCTTGGCTGACAAGTGACCGCAGATATATATCTGCTTGATGGGCAACACTGTGGGAACATTTTAAACGTGCTTCTGCTTTCTCTAGCTCATGGTCATCCAACTGAGGTACTGGTGATGTAAAGCACTGGTAGATTAAGTCCCATACACCTTGTGATTTATCAAGATTGTTAGCTTGAAGAATATATGTATTAGATTCCCAGCTGTTTTCACTTGGCAGAGGAGGTTGTAATTTTGCTGCCATGGCTTCAATTACCATAGAAGGAACACGTTCTTGTCTATGCATATTTTGCTGAATAGCTGTATCTGTGGTGCATTCTATATACAGCTGACAAAATCCAATTGTATGCTTCCTTGCTAACTGAAAATATTCATATCTCATACTCCTATAATAAAAATTATCATCCAGTAAAACTACATACAATGCCTCTTTATCTACAACCTTATTTGATATATTAAAGAAATTAAGAACCATATCATTTTGACACTCCATTTTCAAGCACTGGATGAGCTGATCAACAGATGAATATACATTACGTCTTGCAGATTTCCAGTTGTCATCATCAGTTTGATTTTCCTCACCACACTGTTTCAGTTTAAAAAACTTCTCTTGGAGAGATAATGGAATTAGATTATCATAGCACACATGAATACTCTGAAATGTGTGTCCTTCCCATTTATGCATTAAATGAAATGAAAGTTTTTTACAAAGTGTTGACTTGCCAACACCTGGTAAGCCTACCAGCACAACAAGTACCACATTTGTTTCCATTACTGAGTGTTCTAAAGTGCAAACAAGTTAGTAATTTCTAAGTTTTTCTAAGCTTTTCATTTTTCAATTGAAGAGTCTTTTGATTCATGTTTATGTGTAGCCATTACTTCAAGTGTGTCTTGGACAGTCCTCCATGCTGCCTGTGTTGTGGCTTAATCTTCTTTACAACTGTTCTCACTGCTAGGAGTACAGTTCCAACTACCATGATCGTCCACTGAGAATACCTGGCCTCTTTTTACCATTTCACTCCTTGCAGCTAAGATATCCTCAATGTTTTTCTCTCCATCAAGGTCTGAAAACCAGCCAAGATTATCTGCCACAAGATGGTGTTTTGCACACCCCTCACAGGTAATTGACTACACCTTTTTTGTAAGCCAGTTGGGAAACTGTCTTACACTGTTTTGTGTTCCGTACTTTACATGTATGTGTCAACTGAAACATGGGTGCAGTTTTCCCTAATTGCTCATTATTTCCTTCATGCTTACCAGAACTTTGGCTACAAAAATTAGCTACACTACAGTGAAAAATGCTGATTTATGTTGGTGTCCTTCATTAGAAGCTAAACTTTCTTGCAGACCAAGTCCTTAGTATAGCTGTTAAGGCTGATCTACCAATGTTACATCCAAAAAATCTTGTTGCTACTTTTGCAATGTGTGTCATAATTAAAGAATACACAGTGATCAATAGTCATTAGTAATAAAATATATTCAAAGATTACATTTAAACTGGTTGATTTACTGATCTATTTGTTGCCACTCTTGAGCAAGGTTCCGCTGAGCTTCAGTCTGCTTATTCATCTCATAATGCGTTGCTGCATATAAATGGGCTGAACTTGTGCATAAACTGGCATAATCTTGTGGTTCACACTTATGTGCTTCACAACACAACCAATCACACAGGCTGTCTGAAAAAGGTAAGTAAGTAATTAAAAAAATTAAAAAAGGTAAGTATGTAATTAAAAAATATATTAGAACAGGAATATACAAATAGGGAGGAATAGGGAGTAAGGAATATTGTAATAAAATATTTATTTTTAAACATTACATTACTACATTCAGTTACTTAGGCAGGATTAAAACTGGTCAAGAAAATGTGCATCAGGTAAGATTTTAGACAATATTTGAAGCACAATTAAGGATAAAAAAAAAACTTTTGACATTACTAAAAGCAGCATTTCTGCATTATAAGCCCTGGGAAGGTCCACCTGTAATATGTTATAGCCTGTTTACAGAGTACCAACACTACATTTTTCTCAACTCCAGGAATAATGTTTATATAACTCAGGGTGTCCCTTTCAGCTTAAATACATATACAGCCTCTCCTCCCTTAATGATAGGGTTCCATTCCTAAGAGTAGGTTGGTAAGTGAACTGGTCATTGAGCAAGGAGCATACTATAGTGGTAGTGGGTTTGTGTCAACCATCTTCAGACATTTTTTAATGTCACCTTTGCACCATTTATAACATTTGTGGTATATTTTTAAATGTTTATATAATGTGTACTGTATAATGTAATAAACAGAGTAGAGGAAACCAGCTCTAATATACATTATTTAGGTTTGCATACTGGTTGGAGAACTGGTCGTAAGTCCTGACTTTACTGGGTTATATTGGGCGGCTAACCCTCTGGGTTAAAAATTTGAACAAAATCTTAAGGCCCAAAAATCTAGAGCTCTCTGCCAGAAGATTCCAAATACAGTGGACCCCCAAGTTTCATGAGCCCCGCCCTTCATGAATTTCGACTTTCGGCAACTTATATTGTCAAAATATAGCCTCGTGTTTTATGATTTGCCTCAAAATTCGGCGGTCAAATGGAATGCATTCAAGTGACCTCCCAGCAGCTGCACGCACACTAAGGCTTCCACACACACCATTCAGAGTCAGTGTGGCATTGTTTCTTGGTGAGTGACCATCACCCCACCCATTCACACAATAAATTTCAGAATAATCCATTGTTTTTTGTGCTTGCAACTGGTATATAAGCCACCATGGGCCAAATGAAAGCTCCTAGTGCCAGCCCTTTGGTAAAGAAGGCAAGAAACGTGATATAATTCAAGAAAGAACACACTAGCCAAGGGGGTACTTCCCCACACACACCAGCCAGGGTACTTCCCCACACACACCAGTCAGGGTACTTCCCCACACAAACCAGCCAGGTACTTCCCCACACAAACCAGCCAGGGTACTTCCCCCACACACACCAGCAAGGGTACTTCCCCACACAAACCAGCCAGGGTACTTCCCCACACACACCAGCCAGGGCACTTCCCTACACACCAGCCAGGGTACTTCCTCACACACACGATTTGATTTGGCACTTGCGCATGAGTGAATAGAATTATCAAAGCTTATTGCTTGAGAAGCATTGCAAATTGGGTTGGGCAAATACTCTGTTAGTGGGATGGTTTGTGAAGGACCTGCCTAGTATGGGCCAACAGGCCTGCTGCAGTGTTCCTGCTTTCTTATGTTCTAATGTACACCAGCCAGGGTACTTCCCCACACACACCAGCCAGGGCACTTCCCCACACAGCAGCCAGGGTATTTCCCCACACACCAGACAGGGTACTTCACCACACCAGCCAGGGTACTTCTCCACAAACCAGCCAGGGTACTTCCCCACACACACGATTTGATTTGAGTGGGACTTGCGCATTAGTGAAAAGAATTATCAAAGCTTATTGCTTGGGGAGCATTGAAAATTGGGTTGGGTAAATATTCTTTTAGTGGGATGGTTTGTGAAGGACCTGCCTAGTATGGGCCAACAGGCCTGCTGAAGTGTTACTGCTTTCTTATGTTCTTATGTACACCAGCTGAAGAAATTGCTTCAGGGGAGGAGGAAGAGAGAGGGAAGAAGGTGGCTTCTTCAAAGATAAAGAACATTTGTGTGAAGTGAAGTGAAGTGCAAACATTTGTGGAGAAACATCACCCTAATCTTCTCCCCTCCTCCAGTCTTCCATACACGAACAAGAGTCTTCAATAAAGGTAAGTGCAATGTTATTATTGTTTTATACTTGATTTCTCATTCTTTTCTGTATGTAAATCTATATTTAATCAATAAAAAAAATAATTTTTGTTAATACTTTTGGGTGTCTGGAATGGATTAATTGGATTTACATTATTTCTTATGGGGAAAATGGTTTTGAAATTCGTGAATTTTGACTTTTGGCAGACTCTCTGCATTGGATTAATCATGAAATTCGGGGTCCACTGTACTCCTACTCTGCCAATTATGTACAGTAGGGCCCCACTTACACGGTAGGTTAAGTTCCAGGCTACCGCCACAAAGCAGACATCACCGGAAAGCAGAATGCCATTTTTTCCATTAATAAATGCATATAAATGCCAGATAACAAGTTTACACTAGCATATATTAAGTCAACAATAGAACTAGGCATTAAAAACGATAAAAAGTAAAATACACACACAGTACACTCATTATTTACCTCAAAATATTTGTAGTCTTAATGTAGGGCAAAAGGTGAGTAGTACATGCATTTACTGTCAGAAGTCAGGTGTGGATAGGTATGGTAGCAATCCTGCCCACCCCACCCACACATAATATACTACATCGCTTAACCCTTTCAGGGTCGCCAGGTCCTCTCTGAGACTTGTTCTCAGAGTCGCCAAAATTTCGAAAAAAAAAATTATTTTTTCTTATGAAAAGATAGGGAATCTTTTCCCAATCATAATGACACCAAAAGTATGAAATTTGATGGAAAACTTACGGAATTATGCTCTTGCGAAGTTAGCGGTCTCAACGATGTTTACTCATCGGCGATTTTGCCCACTTTGTGCCCTGTTTTTGGCCAATTCCAGTGTACTAGTTGACAAATATCATAACTATTTCGCTAGAACTCCATTTTTTCTATCGAATGAGTACAAGAAACCACCCATTTACCAACTGCAACTATAAAATACAGTGGTCAGAATTTAGCAATTCTGCCAATTTCACACAAATTTCAAAAGATGCCAATTTCCAAATAGGGTCCAGAATAAACAAGAAAGACATTCCTGGCACTAAAATAACATTTCCTCTGTTCATTAGTCATGTCCCCAGGCCCCTCTTACATTTCTTTTGCTTTCCACTATGAATTTTTATTCTCACAAAAAATAGAAGATTTACTGTTATGCAGACTACTGCATTAGTGTAGAAATGGTATAAATAATATCAGCGCACTTGTGAAAGAATATTAGACTCACCAGTTGACGTGTATTGCACGCATACCATGATTTGATCTTTGGCAAAAATCAAAGATTTCTGCTGCTTTGAGCTCAATTTCAAGGTATTTTTCATTGTAAAACCAATCAAAATCATCTCAATTTCTGTAACATGTCTTCCATTCTATAAAATGAAACCAGGAAAACTAGAATACCATCATAAATACCATACGAAAATACACCGTAAAGTCGCTGTTTTAAACCAAAAACACTGTCAAAGCTTTTTTTCTCTCATTACGCACTGTGTGCTGCAGGATTTTTTTTATACTGCGCACACTGACCACATAGACCCATTCTTTCATATGTAGGCCTACCAGCTTTCTCTCACTAGATTTGAGGGCGCTAGAATTTATGCATACTAGTACGTCAAAAACCCTGGGGCAGAAGCCGCACTAGTACGGTCGAAACCCTGAAAGGGTTAAAGTGCCCTAGAGTGATATAATGCATATATGTACAGTACACTTATTACTTACGTTAAAATATTTGTAGTCTTAACCCTTTGAGGGTCGACAGGCCCTCTCCAAGACTCGTTCTCAGGGTCGGCCAAATTTAAAAAAAAAAAAAAATATTTTTTCATATAAAAATATAGAGAATCTTTTGCTGATCACCAAAAGTATGAAATTTGATGGAAAACTTACGGAATTACGCTCTCGCGAAATTAGCGGTCTCGACGATGTTTATGTATCAGCGATTTTGCCCACTTTGAGCCCTATTTTCGGTCAATTCCAGTGTACTAGTCAACAAAAATCATAACTATTTCTCTAGAACTCTATTTTTTCTCTATTAAATGAGTACAAGAAACCACCAATTTACCAATTTCAACTATCCAATACAGTGGTCAGAATTTAGCAATTTTGCCAATTTCACACAAATTTCAAAAGATGCCAATTTCCAAATAGGGTCTAGAATAAACAAGAAAGACATTCCTGGCACTAAAATAACATTTCCTCTGTTCGTTAGTCACATCCCCAGGCCCCTCTTATATTTCTTTGGCTTTCCACTTTCAATTTTTATTCTTACAAATAGAAGATTTACTGTTATGCAGACTGCTGCATTAGTGTAGAAATGGTATAAATAATATCAGCGCATTTGTGAAAGAATATTAGACTCACCAGTTGATGTGTATTGGACGCTTGGCACGATTTGTTTACTTTTGAACTTTGGTAAAAATCGAACATTTCTGCCACTTTGAGCTCAATTTCAAGGTACTTTTCATTGTAAAACCAGTCAAAATCATCTCAATTTCTGTAACATGTCTTCCATTCTATAAAATGAGACCAAGAAAACTAGAATACAACAATAAATACCATACGAAAATACAATGCAAAGTCGCTGTTTTCTTCCAAAAACACGGCCAAAGGTTTTTTTTCTCATTATGCACTGTGTGCTGCAGGATTTTTTTTATACTGCGCACACTGACCACATAGACCCATTCTTTCATATGTATGCCTACCAGCTTTCTCCCAATAGATTTGAGGGCGCTAGAATTTAGGCGTACTAGTACGTCAAAAACCCTGGGTCGTAAGCCATACTAGTACGGCCGAAACCCTCAAAGGGTTAATGGTCTTAATGTAGGGTGAGAGGTGAAAAGTATTTATTTGCAGAAAATCGTGTGGGAGGTATGGTAGCCCGCCTGGCTACCCCACCTACTCGACACTAACAGTGCCCTAGAGCAATAAAATGCATAT